AACAAAGCTGTAAAGAAGGTCCCTGTTCTTGGCCTGTTCCTGAACCATCAAAAGACATTTATTTCTAATGAGCTAGTTTGGATCTTTCCTTAAGAATATTAAATTGTGATGAAATTTCAGTTCTGTCTCTGAAGACCAAAAACTGAATCTGAATACAAGTTTTTGTAACTAATTGAGATAGGCTAAAGGTCAAACTGGTGGAAAGGAGTTGGAAATTAGTCACCTAAGGGAAATGAATTATCTACCTCAAAAGATAAGTTAACCTACCTATGGTCCCAAGCTCCATTTAGCATCTTCTTCATCTGGAAATCTAGACTGGAAGTCACTGTTGTAAAGAGACACAACTCTTGCTAAGATGTGAGCTCCTGACTATTTTTAATTTTTAAAAATTCTTTAGTTTAAGGATTTTCAGAAGGACTCAGAACAGATGTTATGAAGACTGCCAACTCAAATGCACCTAGGCATAACTAATATTTCCTGCTTCATCAGTTTGGAAGCTTTCTTTGAATGTTCAATTTATAATAACTTTAATCCCCTGTTCTCACGAGAAGAAGAGACTATATTTTCTTTCCTGGCCATTGCCCACGAGATCTCTGAGAACCCAAGTCCACATAAGACAACACAGTCACACATGAAAGATGACAGGACTAACTTCGTCTGTACTGAATGCATTCGTCCCTCAACCTAGCACAAGGAGGCGGGCTGCTGACACCAACCATTTGGGGTCAGAAGTAGTAGGCAGTGTAGAGTGCATCTCCCTGAAGTGCCATGTTCCACTTGGCCTTGGGGCTTCATACAATAGCCAGTTGAGTAGCAGTAAGATAAATCTTTTACTCACATATTCAGCCAATTTTCACAGGGCATGGCTATGGTATGATAATGATGGATTCCAAAAAGGACAATGTCAGCACCTACCTAGATTCCCTCTTGGACAATCTTGACCCTGTTCCTAAGTTTAAGGTACTCAAATGTGCATGATCGTGCATTTTCCCTTGAGCCACAGGCAGTGACATTTGCTGCTAGATTAGAGCCATTAGGGACATTTAAATATTTCAGTGATGTTCTAATAACTTGGAGACTCTACAATAAGGAGTCTTAGTTCTGTTTCTCTTTGATCACCAAAGAATCCCCTGGATTCCTTTATAAATATGGTATTGGTACTTGAGGGAATGTCACTATCTAATGTCATTGCTAATGACAGGCCAGCACTAAGACTGTCAAATCAGGAACTCTTCCATAAGGACAGTAGATGAGCACTGACCTTCATCTGCTGAGTCTCTCAGATAGCTCCTCCCAGAACAAAATTGTCCACATCAAAGTCACTTGATAGCATGAATCAGAAACAGAAATGTGTAAATGGCCTTTTTCAAATAGTAAGAATATAAGTAATAAGTTCTACATTGCCATGCCCCTGGTGATAAAGGTCTGTGAGAATTGTATTTTTATACATATCACCCTTATTAATTCTCAGTAAAAAGGAAAACCCATATAGGAGGGGAAAGACCATGAGTCCCCATATGTGCAGATACTCTGCTAGGTCCTGAAATACTTTGTCCCTTTGGGAATCTCAGGCTCAGAGAAGTTAAGGGTTCTGTCCATGGTCACACAGCCAATACAGGCAAAGGTGGAATTCAAAATTGAGCCCTCATAACTCTTGGCAGCTGTGCTCTTTACCATTGCAACCCATGATCACTGTGGGTACCATTGTTAACTAGTTGAATAGGCAGGAATGTAGAAAACACAAGTATGGGGTCCATCTAAAACTCTCGCTCCTCTTCTTACATCGCTGTTCCATGCCAGGTGTGCCTTGGTGATTAATGCTTGTGAAGCTCTGGGTGTGTCCAGATGATATGCTATCTACAGCACACAAATGGGAAATTTCAAGATGGTGTTCTTTAACAGGCTTGCCACCAAATGCTGTCAGAAAACTAAAATTGTCCAGGCTATTTTGAGACCAATCTCAAAGTTTTATCCAGCTTCTCCTCAAAGTAAATTGACGTTCATGAATCTCAGTGCTGTTCTCTGCCTCACATTTCAGTTGGAGTCATATAGCTAGAGTTTATGCTCATTCAAATTCATGTCCCTATGTTGATCCAATCCATCTGAAAAGCCCTGTGGAATTACGTGGTCTCATATGGAATCAGGGGCCTGCATTCACTAACTTCAAAATAAAGAGAAGGCAGGAGTTGACACAACAGGGACACCATATCAAGAATAAAATTAGAATTGCCCGTTTAACATTTACACACCTCATAGGCTGGGGGTATGGGGTGAGTGTAACTTGTTTACTTTTGAGTATAGATTACTAAGTTTTCCCACCTTGAGATAGGAACCTGACCTGTGAGACAAAATTTTCTTTCCTTCCCTCCTTTTATAACAAGTAGGGATGGTTTGGTGAAATGTGTGTTGGTTTTTCATTCCAGGTGAGAAAGTAGAATTTAAGCTGTAAATTCTAAGTAATGCATCTAAGATGTGTCTGAGACTAAACTCAGAACATTGGTATAAATAGTAATAAGGACCGGAAATGTCACTCCCTCCCTCCATTATTGGCACTTGAGACTTGGCCGAGACTCCTGGAGTCCTCATGGTCACTGGGTAGCCTGGGAAGTGATGCAGGGTGACACACACGGACAATCTTTTCCTGGAAATGGGTTTGGAGGATGGCTTATTATAAACCATAAGCCCTTGTGTATGGCATTGAAAATAAACTCAGAGAGTGCTTAAGTTTACCGTTATGGGTTGAAAGGCAAAAACCCACCATCTGTCACCTATCCGCATACCTCTGCCCGGAATCCTATTCTAGGAACTCCAGTTAATGATCAGATACTTCTTTATACAAAGTCCAGAGACTTAGGGATAGACTGCCATGGAATTTGTACTAATTTTTAAAAACATGTATTTTTGCTTCCTTTCAAGAAAGGGAACAATGCAGTACTGGACAGAACATGGTCTTTATCTGACTACTCATGCCTGGCATTACCTAAATGCCATAATCTGAGGAGCTTTTTGGGCTCCGCTTTCATAGATTTTCCTGTTTCAATTGTATGTGATATTACCCAGTCACACGAATGGTCTGGATAATATTTAGTCATGTTTGTTGATCCCAAGCTATATGAATGAAAAAAAAAAAGACAGGCATTAAAGCTTTGTCCCTCCATACCAAAAACATACTTCTCAATTGTTACTTTTGATTCTGTTCTAAAGTTCTTGTAAAGCAATTAACATTTCTGCATCAGAATATTGTACTTGTGGGTGAGGATGTTATCTCTTCCCTTCCTCATGATGTACACCTCAGTTGAAATGTTTCCTTTCTGTCTTCCCTTCTCATGTTGCACAACTAAAGTTCTGGAGTAAATTCAATTTCAAGAGGATATTTTTCGATCTACTGAAAGGATGTACGAGGACTCGGGTTAAAGTACTTTGGTACGCACTTAGGGAGAATTATTATGCTGGTTGCAATAACATTTTGAAATAAAAATTGTCTTTAGTCTTATGATTGCATAAATTTCTACCTGACAAATATTGTTCTGGCATTGAGTGCCTAGAATTTAAGACATCTTTTCTATGTAAATTATTTTACTGCGAATATACATTGTTGGTGGGGACTCAACCCAGGGAGGTAATGGATGTAATTCTAGTCCCTCAAGCCTATGGACAATGTCAGGGTTCAGGGGGGCTGAACTCTCTAAAACCAATTTACAGGGGAGGGTGGACTGGTGTAGGGGAATGTCTGCCACTACCAGACATTCCTATAATAGGATCCCTGAAATAGCAACATCTCAGGTAGTAAATGAGTTCCAGTGATAAGAATGCTATATAAAGAGTAGAACCTCTACCCTAAGTATGACTCCCAACTGTAGGTTGTGGGCTTCTGGCTGACTGCAGTTTTATAAAGGCTGAAAAATTCACAATTAGGTCGAAAATAGCCTGGATGATATGTCTCATGCCATTGTGTCTTCGGTGAAGACTCTGGAACCAGATCCACAGCCTGGCTAAGCCTCTCATTATTTGTGTGTCTCTGAACAAATTATTTCACCTTGAATGCTTTCATGTCTTCATCTATAATATGGGGACCATGTCATTAATAACATCTCTGAGGTGTGTTACCAAAAATAAGTTAATATTTGTGGACTGATGTTGCTCTTATAGTCTAGATTCAGTAAATTTTCATTTTAGTTATTATTGTTTGGTAGACATTTGTGGCTGCCACTATGATATATTAAAAATATATTCATTTAAATGAGATCCCATTATTATTCTGTATCAATACACACAGTTTCAATGGAATATGGAATCGCCAAGTATGGAATTGCCATCATATGAGGGATCGTCTTTCTCCTAAGTGGAAGAGTAAAGAGGTGAAGCTGAGTTATCCTAAAATAGAGAAGGAAATATATATGGTAGGCAAGACCAACTTTTCCTATTAGGCATTGTAGACAGTCTAGGGCTTGTGATATTTTTAGGGCCTCATAAAAGTGCTTAAAATTCTTTTAACATGAGAAGAGATATTTTAATATGTAATATTAATACATTCATCTTTTTGTAGTGTGAATAAACATAAAGTGTAATTTTTAATATTTTTATGGAGGAAGGGGCAATGAAGGCAAAGACATTAGGGCCCACAGAAGTCACAATGTGGCTTTGTTTACAAATGCCTGTATACACTCACTTATGTAATTTTCAGTGTCCCTTTGAAGGAGCAGATGTTGCATATTGTTTGCCATTGTACAGACAAAACCTGTCACGGTGCCTGGCACATAGTAGGAAACCAGTAAATATTTGAAAAACTAAAGAAATAATTAGCATTTGGGTCATATGCAACCAGCAAATGATCTAGCAGGAAGGGTGGTGCTAAATCTCTAAGTGAGTCAGTCTCAGTGCAACCTAGAAATACATTTTTGAAAATGCCATGCTACATGGATCAAACTGAAGTGGATGGAAAGTTGACTAAGTAGGGCAAAAGAGAGACACGCTTACTTTTTTTCTGGATTTGATGTTAGGACTGTCTTTGAGCGAAAGAATGAAAATCCAGCTGGGCCCCACTACTAAGAAGGGATCCCTCGGAGCTGAGCCTGGAAGACTGAGGTCATTTGCAGCAGAAGGGCTGAAACAGGGGAGTGAACTGCAGAGACTGGAGAAAACCAACAGGTATCACCCTCTCCACCTGCTGCTAGTATTCCTCTGGGTCCTCAACTGCCTGAAATCAGGGAAGGGTGGAAGGCTCCCCATAGGAGGGCAACACCTCAGGAAGCCAAGGTCTAAGTGATGGCTAAGAACCAGATCTGCATGGAGACAAGTAGAAATGCCCCGGTTCTGCCCATAGGTCACCTGAGGTGGATCATCCACTCCATGGAATTCTGGGGAGATGGGATGGAGCGTGGTCTATTCCGGAAGGGGAGAAGCCTGAAAAAAAAAATCAAGCTAACTATAGTCTATGCGAAAGAGAAATATTTTTCCTTTGGATTTTTAAGTGAATCATAAATCTCCTTTTGCTTCAAATGCTTATATTCAAAAATATTTCAAATATACTGTAATCTATTTTAAATAGGGAATAGTATGTAGAAATCAAAATTAGTAACAATATAGATGATTCTTAGCAATCAAATGCTTAGTGAAGAAAGTCACAAAGTATTATATACAGCATGATATCCTTTAGCAGTTTTTATATGGAAAAATTTAAAACTATACGAACAGGAATACTGTCATTTCCCCACGTACCTACTGCCCAACTTCCATCTTGACCAGTCTTGTTTCATTTATTGCCTTATCCTCCCTTATTATTTTGAAGGAAATTTCAGACATCATAGAATACCATTTTTACCATGCTAAATATAGCTAAGATATAAAAATATTTTATGAATCTATAGATGCAATAAAACCATCTAAAAGCAAACTCAAGGCTGTGAAAACACATCACTTAAGATGATAGCTACTGCAGGTGGGCAGGATTACATATAGGTTACTGTATGAGATTTTGTTTTCAGTAGTCATGTCAGTGCATGACTGAAGGGTACCCAAGGATCCCAAATTGTTAAGGGGTACACACTCTACAGGGACCCAGCTATCTGTGCATACCAAAGCAAATAAATCAGACTCTTTTTTTAAAAAAAAAATTTTAATGAAGTACTTTTTTCTTACACCATTGTTAATTTTTGAACAATATATGATTTCTCCCTCATCGTAGTTGCCCTATTACCAAAGCACCCAAATCCATCACCATAATCCCTGTGCTCTTCCTATAATCATCCTCTCCCCTTCCCATTCTGATGCCTCATATCTACGGTCAGCTTTTAGGGGGGTGCATTGAAACACTTCTTAACCCTGGCTCTGACCTTTGAGCAGGTCACATATTCTCTCTGGGCCTCAGTTTCCTCATTCCTAACAAGGAGGTTGAACTCGAAGATGTCTAGGGACCATTTCAGATGTAACATTTTATGATTTTAAGTGACTTGAACAGACCTTAAATAGTAAAGAAGTGGGTATTTCTCAGGGATTTGGCCAGTTGATAAATTTGGTCTCTCCCCAGATCAGTGTCCATTTTCTATACATGCAGCTTGCATAGGTCTTGAATTCTCCTATATGTCCACATTTCCTTATGGACAAGCACACCTTAAGAGAACATGACGGTTGCAAAATCTTCCCCACATAGCCCTACATTAAATGAAGTAAATCCATCTTGAATAAGGAAGAGTTTCTAAATGGACAGGCCTTATGTCAGTCTCAGATTCCACCTGTAACCCAAGTTACAGTTAGAAAACAGTTCTCTGCCTTCAAAACTGCAGAATACAGAGAACTAGTCCTGAGGCGCACCAGCCTGCGCGCGCGCACACACACACACGCATACGCACACACACACTCATAATTAGAGATAACATCTTTTTTAGTCCACTCATTGGGGTTTGGGCCCTGTAATCATAGCCCTATCACCTAGAGGGGTACAAGTGCCTGGGGCAAGGGGCACCATTGCCTGGACCATTGGTGCACAAGGGAGAGCGATGCTGAGCTGGGAGGGTGGGCTCTATCCTCCTGCACCTGGAGCAAGAGGGGTAGAGATAGGGAGAACCTGTGATGAATAGAAAGCCAAATCCAAATATAAATTGTACTTAAAATATGATAATGATCCAATCACTGGGGTGGGGGAATACGCTTAATTAATAAATATAGCTGGGATCACCATGCACTTATGTGAAAAGCTTCAAGCTGAACTCTTAGCACACATTAAACAGTTAGATACATTTCATGTGGACTACAGAATTAAATACAAAAGCAAAACTACAGCCTAGGTAGACAAAAATATATATGATTTTGGACTGAGAAACCATTTCCAAGACAGAAACTACGAAGAGATAGATCAACAAATTTGACAACACAAAAATGTTATTTTCTTGGCATTATAAAAATATAAACAGAATTAGAAGCATAGGAAACACTGGAGAGTTCATTTGCAAAAATTATTGAAGACGATAATGATAAATCATTAAAAAAAAATAATGCTCTTCCTCCCTAAAGAAAAACTAGGTGTATGGGGCCTCCCCAGTGGCGCAGCGGTTGAGCTCTGGGTTGCGAAGCTACCCGCAGCATCTGCAGGGCCAGTTCGATCCCCGGCCACCAGAGGAGGGTCCCACATGGGGCGCAGACCTCTCCTGCCGCCCGCTGCTCCCCTCAGCAGTGTACTTCGGTCCTTCTGCCTGCTCTGCTCCTCGCTCTGGCTCTGGTGAATTCTCTCACCCTCCCGCGCTTCTGACTGTGCCCAGTGCTTGTATAAATAAATAAATAAAATCTATAAAAAAAAAAAAAAACAACTAGGCATAGGTAATACAAAGCATTATACATTAAACAAGAAAGATACTTTTTGGCCATAAATTCATAGAGTTAAAATTCTGGTTGTGCACTTGGTAATGGTAGGGTCAAATTATCAGTCTATGAGTAGGTTTACTCCTGGCTCTGACTATGTATGACATCTTAGTGTAGTCATTTAAGATTTATGAACTTCAGTTTTCTCAAGTCTAAACTAAAGATAACATACTCTCACAGAGTTAGTGTGAGGATTAGATGAGATTGTGACTTTTAAAAGAACTTGTAAATTAAAAGGTAATCTACAGATAGATATATACGAATATAATTGTTGGATCCTATTAATCAAGTAGACCTGTGCTGTTTACCAATCATAACTGCCACTCAGAAGAATATCTACTATAAGATGACTCTTTTAAGTCATGCAGTTGGAATAGTATGAGAAAAAAAAATTTTTTTTTTTTTTTTGAAGTAGCTCTTGGTGTGGAGAGAACAGACGCTGAAGCTCTGAGCCACGCCTTGCTGTCAGCCAGGTAAGATACCATCACCTCTACTCTAACTGAAATCACCAAGCTGTCAAGAGGTAAGTGACTTGCCCAAGATAACTCAGCCAGAACATTAATAGTGGAGGGAGGAGGAGACAATGGAGAAAGGGAAAAAGAACTATTTGGCTTATGAGGCATCCATACTCTCTTTTCCTCCAGAGAGAATGAGGAGCCATAGCCATCAGTGACTATAGAATACACAACATATATACCCTCAAACTATAAACTGTAGAAGAGGCAGCCAGAAAGGGAAAAGGAGTATGAAAAGAAGAAAGATACCTGGGCACTAAAAATGGGCAAAACTAATCAAATCATAGGTGTTAAACAGCCAGGTTCCCTAGAAGATAGTTGGTCTACTCATGTGGTCAGGGATGAATTGACATAAGGGGGAGGGTTGTGAGAAGTATTAATTCAATTCAGCATTGTTTACTCCTAGGACCAACTTGACTTTCCCATGCATTTTAATCACTAGCCACACTAAGCGAAAGGAATACTGTTATTTCGAGGATTTCTTGGATGATGCCGAAAACATGTTCTCCTTCTTGTATACTAGAAAAATGAGATAATGAATGTTGAAAGAACTTTGTAAAAAAAAGTGTATTTTAATTTTAATTATATATTTGGAGCAATATATGATACTGATTTGCCCACTTCACAGTGTGAAAACATATTTGTTGATCTATAGAATGGGAATAACAGTGAAAGAAGTGATTCCGGATGGCTTTTGAAGAATTAAGTGGGATAGTATTGGTGAAGCGGTTAGCATGGTGTCCAGCACGTGGTTCTTCCATAACAAAGATTAATTCCCCACTTCACTTTTGGGAAATAGAAGCAGGCACCATACTCTATTGGCCTTTTCCTTTTTCTCTCTTCTCTGCTTCTAATGTGAAGTAGAGGACCTGAGTTGAATAATTTCTACTCCTGTTATAGTATTTTCTTTCTTTCTTGAATTATGAAATATCATAGCAAGCAACAAAATAAATTTCAATTCCCTAGTCTTTTGAGTCTGTGCAAAACTACGATCAGATAACACAGTTTTATCCAATGGATAGTTCCATAGCCTCGGTGTCATGTGTTCATAAGAAACTGAATGTTACTGCTGTAGATATAATCCACATGGTCCATCAAAATGTGCTCGCAAGGCTAGAGTTCACGTTGTGGTGATAACATGACCAAATCCAAAGTAAGTTTAATAGAGTAGCTTGCTCAGGACATACTCTAGAACTGGAATTCAAATGGGAGTGTTTAATTTGCACCTCTAAGGTGCTAGGACTAGGGATAGCCTCTTGTTATGTGTTAAGTAGATCATGTTGCAGAGGGCACATTTTCTCTCCATGGTACAACTTGAACAGTATCTGATTTTGATTATTTAAAATGAAGAGAATTAACAAATTATCCAGCTCTTCTGAAGTGAGTCATATAAGAAAACTGCATTTGTCAGTAGGAAGGGAAGAGCAGGGCTAGATTAGTTTAAAAGCCCTCAATTACAGATGAAAGTCAGATATGCCAATCTCACGAAGTCTTGACTGGACCAACGAGCTCAGAGGAAGAAGCTGTTTCATTGAGAAAGGAAAAAATAAAGAGCCCAGAATTTCCTATAGAGGAAAAACTCTTCAAAATATTGTGCTACTTGGGTATCCTAGTTGAAAACAGCATACTTTGGTTGAGTTTTACTTAAAAAAAATTCTTCAAAAGATATTTAATAGCTTCAGAAAAGCAGAAATCTAAGGAGTCTAGATCCACAGCCAAAACCATACCATAGGAACTTTCTGGTGAGCATGGTGTATTAGTTTGCTAAAGCTGCCACTAACAAAGTATCACAGACTTGGTGGCTTGAACAAAAGAAGTTTATTGTTTCACAGTTCTGCAGGTTAAAAGGTCAAGACAAAGTGTTGTCAGGGTTGGTTCTTTCTAAGGGTTGTGAGGGAAGAATCTGTTCCAGGTCTTTTTCTGACTTATAGATGACTCGTCATCTGTGTTGTCATCTTGTGTGCCTGTTTATATTGTGTTTGTTTTATGCTTATCTATGCCTGAAACTACTCCTTTTTCTTAAGGATACTACTCATTTTGGATTAGGACTCTCCCTAGTGACCTCACTGTAACTTGATTACTCTGCAAAGACCCAATTCCAACTAGGGTCAATTTCTGAAGTATTTGTGGTTAGATATTCAGCATAAGAATTGTGGGGTGGGAAGACACAAATCACTCTGCAAGAGATAGTCCCACTGAATACTAGAGGTAGGACATTTTTTCCTGCTGGTGCTATTCCCCAGCCACTTTGGCCCCAGAGGGAAGAATGCGCCACAGCTCCGCATGTAAGCATCTGATTATCTGGGCTTGGCTGTATGCGCACACCTACCCTGTCAGTGAGGAGACAGAAAGCTAGAATTTGGCTTTTTCTCTTTCTAAAGTGGGAGGCAGTTACTTACTTCTTTCAAGACTCCTAAGAATCCCCCAAACAGGGTAAGGCAGTTCAGCAACTGAGCCCTCAAAAACCTGATACATAGTCATATTAGTACTTTTCAAACCATCCCGTGCCTTCAAGCCAGCATATTAGTTTATGGAAAGATGCCCTGAATAAACATTCAAATAGAGGGCAAAGACCAAGCCAAGTGAAAAAAGAAATCTAACCATTGATGACAAAACTTGCAAATTGTAGTCCAAGTCTATCTCAGTCATGCTGAGACAGGTGGGATGATAAGGAGCCTTTCTACTAAAAATGATTAATTTTTGCCTTCACAGTCTCAAGTGGAGGAGGCAAGCACCCAGATCCACATGTCCCTTATCCTCTTTGACTTTGCCACCACAATTGTCTCTTTGCCATACAAGCTCTGAGAATAGGGAGCATAAGCTCCTATGGGTGAGAAGAGGATCAAAACTAGATAAATGTTGCCTGAACTGTTGGTTTGAATCACTTTTGTGTGACAGACATATGTGACAGGAGAGTATTTGTGTAGACTAATGTAGAGACAGGAGTGTCCCTTGTTTGAGAAAGGACTGTCTCTGTGTCTTCCCATGGGAATACATAAGAACTGAAAGTAATGAGAGCCTAAGAATGTACAGATACTTCCATGACAAAGATTGGTTCCAAACCTCTCATGCCCATACCATCTTTAGGTAAAACCTTCTACAATGCTCTCTTGCATACTTATAGTTCTATTATTTATTGAGCTGCTACTAGGCCAGGCATTGTGTGAGGAGCTGGAGATGCAAAGATGAAAAAACTAAATCCCTACTCTCAGGGAGATCCCAGTGTGGTGGGGGAGATTGACATACTTACAGAAAGCTATTAAGCAGTATTTTAAGAGCACATGTTGGTATGTGCAATCAAGTATAATTTTCATGTGCTTGCTTATTCATTATTCATCTTCAGCCACTGAAATGCAGTGGACTTTGTCACAGTCACAGTTATATGTGCAGCACCCCAGAACCTAGAGCCTAGGGAGTGTTAGGAATTCCCATAATATTTATGAATAGTTTCTATGATGGAAGCATATCAGAAGGGGTGCTCAGATGTGCTCAGGGGACCTACGGGAGGCTTCCCGGAGGACAAGGCTGCATTCCATCATGATTTGATCTTATTGTGGTAGATTGATTGCATTGTTGGTTATGGGTTTTTCATACCTCCTTGTATTTACACTCTTTGGCCGCAGAATTGGCCATATGACTTGGTCAGACAACAGGAAGGCTGCACACTTTATACAAGCAGTAACCACAGTCGGAAACACAAGCCTAAACTAACCTGGAGGGAGAGAGGAGACCATATGAAATAGAGATGAGCTATCTTAGCACCTTCATTCAGCCTTAACTGAGTAAACAGCTCATTACAGATACATGTGTGAGCCAGCTCAGGTCCACAAAACTGCTCAGCTGACCCATAGAATAATGAGAAACTGAGGTGGTTTGTTACAGAGCATTATTGTAGCAGTAAATAAACCAATATATTCACCATCTCACCCAACAACAACCTGTGAAACAGAACTATTATTGCTATTATTGCTACTTCAAATGTAAGAAAACTGAAGCTCAGAAAGAAACAGAAGGAAAATAGAACTCCACCTGAATCTTTGGACTTCAAGTATTCCTTTGTGTCCTAGCTACTTTTAAAAAAAAAAAATATATATATATATTTATTTATTTATTTATGCAAGAACTGGGGTATAGACCAGATGCGCAGGAGGGTGAGAGGATTCACCAGAGACAGAGCGGGGAACAGAACAGGCAGACTAATGGCATACACTGCTGAGGGGAGCAGCGGGCGAGACAGTAGAGGTCTGCTGTGCCATGTGCGACCCTCGCCGGTCGGCTGGGATCGAACCAGTGCTGCAGAGACTGCAGACAGCTTCACAGCACGGCGCTCAACCGCCTGCACCACCAAGGGAGGCCCATATATCCTAGCTACTTTTGTGTTTAGAAACATGACTGTGATACAGCGTGGAAGCCTGGGAGTTAATTGTGTAAAGGGAGAGTGAAAAAGGGTAGAAGGAAGAGGGGAAAGGAGGAATGAAGAGAGGGAAAGAGGAAGGAATATGTTTGACCCTCAAGACATTGTTTGCTCCACAAATTTAGTCCCACAGGTGGTTTTAGGGAATTCTAAATGGTCCTTAATACATGCCAGAAGCCAACTTAAGAAATGGAATAAAGAGTACTTATTAAGGGTGTTAGGTAAAAGGAAAGGTAGGTAAGAAAGGTCAGGGAAAGGGAGATATATGATTCTGTGAGACATGAAATTATTCATCCTTTTGGCTGGGTAGTCAGGGAAGAACTCTCTGAGGAGGTGACAATCTGAGATTTGAATAATAACAAAGAACTAGCAAAGTGAGAATCAAGGAGAACAACATTCCAAGGCAAGAGAACACTGTGGCAAATGAACAAGTTCGGCAAGCTCAAGGTCACAGAGAATGACGAGAGTAGCCTGAGTGGAGTAGGGGAAGGAGGAAAGATTTTATTCTAGGTGGCACTCTGACACATACTTTGAAAACGATGGC